CAGACTGCTGGCACCAGAGAACTGTTGGAACAGAAGCGCATGCAGCTCCGATGAGCTTCAGCAACACCTGTCCTGCCAGGGCCGCCCCTCTGCCACTGGTGTCCCTGTCCCCAGCCGGTTTGTTCACAGCCCTGGGACCAGTTTCTGAGCCCTCATCTGCTCACCATCTCCAGCGAAGGCCCAGGGAGCTCAGTCACATGCAGACCTGCATGTTCTGGCAGCACCTCGAGCCCTCTGCCTCCTGCATCACTCCCCAGCGGCAGCTCCTGGGTAGTTGCTAAGTTGGGAGAAGGTGTAACCTGGAGGCTTCCAACATTTGTCACTGTGCAGACCCCTCATATTTTCCAGTGGAAGCACAGATCAGAGACACAGAGAACGAATATCCCTAGTGAACTGCACTGTGTACAAGCTGCTTTTCTCAGCGACATTTCACAGACTCCTTGAAAAAGGACTGCAGACCTTCAGGAGCCCATGGCATAACCAGTGCACAACTGGTCTCAACAGTTATCCCTGGGGGTGCCCACACAGCAGCACACAGCTGATGGCTGCAGGTGCCGTTGCAGCTTTCTGAAGGGGCTGCAGCCCTGGAGGACGAGCATCTACAGGCGAGCACAGGGGAGCCCCAGCCAGAGGCTAAGCATGTCCCCAGTGCCATGAACTGCTCCCTGGGCAGAGCTGTGGTCCCTCGCCTCCTCCCCTGGCATGAAATACAGGGCTTGTTGCACTCACACTTTCTGGTGTGCAGGTGAAGGTCTGCGGTGATATCTGGATCAGGAGGGACAGGATCGCGTTGAGAAAGCTCTGGCGCAGTCCCAAGGCCAGAAACTTGCCCAGCAGCGGAGGCAAAGCCGAGGGGGATGAGTCGTGGGGGATGATGCCTCCTCCCACCTGCTTCACTGCACCCTGCAGAGAGAGGTGACACGGGTGTTAAATCTGTCCCTCGCAGCCACGAGGCATGTCCAGATCCTCAAGACGGAGGGTGAGGGGTCTGTGCCAGCTGAAGGAGCCCTCTCCAAGCAGCAGCTTAGGGAAAGCTTCACATTTGAAGCAATTGCCTCTATATTTAATAGACAAAAGGGGCTGATAAAAGGCCAGAGTGTGTAACGGAGGTCACCTTAGCTAATAACACACTTTGTCCAAATCAGGTCATCCTTGAGATTTCACTCCAAGAGCAAACAAGCGGGGAAGGGGCTGCCCCAGCCCTGCCCTCCCTCCAGCCCAGCCAGGGGTGAGCAAACCCACACTGATACCACCCGCTTGCCATGGAGACCAGCTCCAACCATCTCAGGCGATGGGGAAAAAGCCTGATCCTGACAAGGCACCTGCACTAAAGCAAGAGCAGCAGTGCTGATCGTGCAGACAGCAGTGCTGGATATTTGCCCTTGCTACTCTTTATTGCTCACGTCCCAGCTGCTTCTCGCTAGCCACATTCTTTTATTTAAGCTCTCCTGTTTGAAAGTACTGATTGGTTTTAGCTGTTTGGGTTTTTCTCCCCAGTGAGATGGAAGTAAAAATTACATCTGTTAGCTTGGTTTAGCATTCACCTCCCCATAGGGACTGACTAGCAAAGGCAAAAAGCAGAAACACAAAGTCTGCAGGCAGGGTGAGGGGGAAAGCTGCTTGTGCCAGCAGCCCCACGCTCCTGGGGAGCCTCAGGGCTCAAGGAAAAGTACACACGGCAACTTAGCGGTGACTTTAAGGAGCTAAATATTCAGCTAGCACTTCCAGAACAGGGCTTTAGCCCCGCTCCTCCACGGGGTTGTGCTGGAAGAAGAGAACTGCTGCCATGGGCGAAGGTGAACTGCTGCAGCTCCAGGGTCCTGCCACCCAGCATTAACTTACGTCTAAATCCAAGCCAAGGAACAAGCCAGAGGTGAAGGGGAGGCTGGCCAGCTGGTAGTGAATCGTTCCTGCTGTGCCAACTGGGACCACCGCTTCAGGGAGATAAGAGATCATTACAACGTCAGGAAAAAAACAGCAACACAAACTCCCTGCCCTGGCCCCCTGCCAGACCCTGCACCCAGGTCCTGAGCACGCATTGTTGTGGGATGCTCATTGCTACTCCAAACAGCCAAAACACCCCCAAATCCGGTGGTGTGGCATCTGTCTTTAGAACATAGCCCCCAAAGGGTGTCAGAGATAATGAGCTAAGTCCAAGGATGGTGCACAAAAAGGGCATGAGGAGGGTGAGCAGTTCTCTTGGGCTGGGTGGGCATGAATTCAAGGTTCGTGAAGAGCCTTGCACAAGAGCAGCTCATCCTTGCAGAATTTATGGACTCGATGTGGGAAAAGGCTCTTCCCGCTGCAGGACCGCAGGGAGGCAGCACCTCCTCCTCCTCCAGAAACGCACCATTGAGAGTGCCCATGAGCTGGATGTTCACAAGGTTGACCACAATGTGAACTACTGGGCAGAGCTGCAACACAAAGCAGAAACAGGATCACTTAGCCCCCCTCGCCACCCCTCCACAGGGACCCTCACCCCTGCAGCCTGGCCAGACCCGCTCTTTTTCATCTAAATGCCCAGGGAAAAATGTGCCACGTGGCGTCAGGCAGCCACCGGGATACTGTGAAGGATGCAGGGGCTCTGGAGCATTCCTGGAGCTGTGGTACCACACTGAGGGGCTGCCTGGATCCAAGGAGGATTTCAGGCATTGCCCTGCAGCAGAAGCATGCTGGCAGCAGCCAGGCTGGCCACCAGTATCCCCTGCCAGGCTGGCCACCAGCATCCCCTGCCACGCTGGCCCA